TCAAATGTAGGATTGGATAGTGATAGGCGATGACAATTTTTGAAGTGGACTTTATATTAAAATGCATCAATCAACTTCTCATCATCGTCATTTAATTAAACTATTTGTAGTAGCGTTTTGTCTTGTTTTAAATCTAGATTAATTTTGACCTACGCCGCGTGCATGTTATTTTTTGTAGTTGTAAGAAAATAATATAATTAATGTACTAGGACAGTTAGATTTATGAATTATTATAAATTTTATATAAAATGAATTGCTACACAATATTAATTAAGAAGAGCATATCTTCAGCTAAAAACTAATAAGCATAAAGCATACTCATCTGAACCTATTTGAACCTATTTATAAGTCACTTCTAATATATTTTTATAGACCAAGAAAAATCTTAAATTTCGTTAACTTTTATTTAAAATTTAATAACTTTTCAATTTTATTCCTATTTAGTGTATATTATACTCTATGAAAATAAAGTTAGTACAATAATAAACGAAAGATAAAATCATATACTTATATAAAAAAATTTCTATATCTACGTTATAAATAGGACTAAAAACTCTCTTCTCTTTCTATCATATAAATAGTAGTAAAGGAGTACCAATCTATCAAGTTATTGAAAACTTAGTTTATATGATAAACTTTCAAGCCTCGTTTGCTTGGCATATATATGAGACATTGCAATACATAAAATTCATTTTGCCACAAAGCAGTTTGGTGATTGGCTGATCAATCTGCGAAAATAATATATTTTTAATGAATCAATATTTTTCATAATAATTTGACCCCTTTCATTAACCTATTCGACTTTGACGAAAATTTTTTTAATTGGCCTATATTCCACCTGTAATTTTTAATTTCCTCGACTTTTTCAACCCCATTTCAACAACTCTACACTACTAAAATTTTATTATACTACAAACATATTTAATGCTTGATATAAAAAGACAAGGTTTAGTTTCCATCTTACTGAGGGGAAAACGACATTTCAAGACCCTCTAGAAGCATTAATAACAGCTAAGAATCTTGATTTTTTTTTTTTTTTTTGCCGTGAAAGAATCTTGAAATTTTGAAAGAGTACTAACTAAAAGGAGACTATAGGCTTGTTTGGTTTCTTATTTTGAAAATAATTTTTTGTTTTTAAAAACAGAAAAAAAAATTTGTTTGGTAATTTGTTTTTAGTTGATTGTTTTAAAAAACAAAAAACAGTAATATAGTTTTAAAAACCAAAACAACTTTTACATGTTTTTTTTTTGTTTTCTTGTTTTTGATCTTTCGTTTTGAAAATTCTGAAGAATTTTTTTCTCTTCTCACTTACTATCCACTATTTATCATATCAGCGACAACTATCACCTAGCTATCAAAATTTTCCTCAATTAATTTTTTTCAGCACTCTTATTTTATATTTACGCTACGATGCTCTATTTTTTTCGATTTTTTTAGTATTCATGTTCAATATTTTTGGTTGCGTGGTTCAGCATTTCACCTACAAATTAATTACAGTGCAGCTCAACTTTTAGTCATTAATTTATGTCCGATTGATCTTATTTATTGATTTCTAAATATGTTAATTGCGAATTCAAGTTTCAATGTAAAATTACTCGTAAATTTAAAAGGTGACTATTGTTTACTGGAATTGATCAAAATGTTGTTTTGAATATGTAGATTTAACGAGAAAATAAGTGTCCATATACAGTTCGGCAATAAAGAAAAGGAGAGTATATATAGTTTAGCATCTTCATTATATTAATAGAAAAGTGAGAAAATATTTTTAAAAAGTAACCATGCACATATGATTTATATTGAGTATATAGACTTTTTTCCTTTTGCCATTAGAGTATACAGTAAGCTTTAACATGCTGGGTTATTCATCAATTAATTGTAAAAAATGTGATTCATCATTTATTTATTGGCCTCAGTAATGTAGGCCTTGTTTTAATGATTCAGGGAAAACTTGCTGATGGCCCAGTTAAAAAAGGTGAATAAAAACCAAAAAAAATTCTCGGCTGAGTTGGATCTATCTCGAAAGCGAGTATGGCATGTTCTAAAACCATGGACCTGTAGTGGGTTTATAGTCTGTTCTTCTTGGCTCAGGTGTTTGAGGAACAAATGGGTCTTCATCAATAGGATCTTCAACTGTAGGATCTGGCTGGACCATTGCTACTTTAGAGATATCAGCATGATATATCTCCGGATCAGAGTTAGAACTGTATTCAATAGAGGAATCAGACTCAGGTTCAGAGGTTCCATCTGTTGATGACTGATCTTTATCCACAGTTTGGAAAGTGGCTATGGTTTTGTTTGGATCTGCAACTTCTTTTCTTTTTTCTCTGTCTGGAGGAGGAGTTTGTTTTGGTGGAGATGATGGTGGAGTTCTTATTACAACTCCTTGAGAGGACGGTGTTGGTTCAATAGGTTTAGTATATGAGGATGATGGGTAGAAAAGTCTTTCAGATGAAGGGAAGTGAGGTGGTCTTACTGGGGGTCTGGGAGGAGGGTTTGGCTGGACAGGTGAAAGAGTGGGTTGTCGTGATTTTCTCAACTGTCTTAAAATAGGATAAGACATTTTGAAAACCTTGCTATAATCAGATTCTCTGGGATAAGAAAGAGATGATGTTGGGTATGTAGGAAGTTGGAAACCAGACGGATAAGATGGATAAGGGTCATAGATGGTTTGTGAATGATCCTTTGCGATGTCTGACTCGATTCTTTGCAAATCCTTTCGGATTTGTGACAGTTCTTGCTCTTTTCTGGTAAATTCTGGTCCAATATATCCCTTCTCGATAAATTGCTTTAAATCTGCATCCAGTTGGTAAGCCTGAGAAGTCAGAGTCATATAAAGCTGCTTGACTTGATCAGAGACCTGGTCAAGTCTGCTCGTCAGAGTATCAGTTCTAAGAGTTAGCAGGTCAAGCTTTGAATCAATCTTTGTCAGAGTTCTATTCTGGCCGATCGCATTTTAAAAATTAAACTTAATATGTTAGCATTTAGTAAGGTTTTATTAGCATTCAAAAGCTCAATATTATTCCTCCAGACCTATTTAACTAATTTGATTAGATGAAGGAAGTTATGTAAATTAATTAATTATAAGAAATATGACATGTTTTTTCTAAAACACCATAATCATCTTTCTTAATATCCTATCTCCCTCACTTACTTGATTATGGTTGAGGGAGTATCCATAGGGATAATTTGGAAAAAATGATAAATATGAAAAATAAGTATTAGTTTATGACCCAATTAACTTAAAAATGAGGTCTTATATTAAGGATTAGAGGACTATCATTTTTTGCTAACGGTTCTAGTGTTAGAAGACTAAAAATTTACTTTTTAAAGTTAAGGGATCAAAATAAAACCTTATATAAAATTAGAAAAGTAAAAGTATATTTTAGCCTAAATCTTATATTTAAGGTAGGAGTACTTCGCTCTAGGTTCTCCCTTTAGGGTTTCTTTCCATGGTGAGAAGACATATATACTACGTTCTGTTTTAATTATAAGATCTTGTTTATAGTTTATAAATGAGATTTTATAATTAGAACTAAAGCAATATCTATACACACATACATACACATATATGTATATAACTCGGCTGCGTAATTATCGGGTTTCTTTCCCGTTCTCTCTTTTCTTCTTCTTCGTCGCCGAAGAATGAGAAAAAGGAGACGTGGAAGAGCCGAGTTTGAGCAATAATATCTATGAAGAGATGGAAAGAGATTCTCCTCCAACATGAATCCTCGGCATCAGCAAGAAGCTCTAGATCAATCTGGACTGTCATCTCACATTAGATTAAGACAAGCAAATGCAACAAGTACTGAAAGAAGATGGCAGTGCTAATTCAAAGGCATTGAGATATTACCCAAAAAAAAAAAAGATTGAGACTTTTTATCAAAACAAGGTAAAAGTTCGGATTCATAAATGATAGTTTTTGAGAAAATAAAATACATTTTTATATGTCGACTGCTTTTTGATCGATTTTAACAATTTTTTCTGATTACCCTATTGTTATCATTTCCGTCTCATATATAAGTTTTGAAGAAGTAAGATTAATGGGAAAATAAACTAAATATACTCCTCTTGGTTATCTATCATTCACTAAAATTAAGAAAAACTTTAAATCTCATTATCATTAACCTTATTGTAAAATATAATAATTTTTCAACTTTACTCTCATTTAATATTCACTATATTCCAATAGTATAAGGTTTACACAATAATAAATAAAATATAAATTTGCATATTCATATTAAAAATTTAACTATATAACTTATAAATAAGATTAAAATAAAAATTCTTTCTCTACATTATAAATATGATGATAACATTATTTTTTTAGAACAACTAAAATCGAACATATATACTTAGTTCTTTAATTTTACACAATTTTAATTTGATCCCTTAACTTTAAAAAATATATTTAATTTTTTTAATTTAAAATTATTAGTCTCAAATGATAATTTTTTGTGACAATGTTGTTTTGAAAATTAAATTTAATATGTTAACATTTTAAGAATTTTTGTACCATTCAAGATATGATATCTTTATTTTTTTAATTAACGATTTTAACCTTAATTAAAAAATATACATAGCCCACAACTAAATATATACTATTTTTCAGAAGTTTTTAGCATATTCATCCCACCAATTAATTGGTGAATTAAATGAGCCGAAAAACATTGAATATCGTAGGCTGTGTCGTAAATAGTATTTAATATGATGAACATACGTTGCCAAAAGCAGAAAAGATATCAGCTGATGACATTATCCCAAAAAGAGAAAAAATCAGACACAGCCCAGATATTTTGAATGGACATTGTGTCTCTCACGTGTTTGCTAATAAGTCTATATAATAAAAAATTTCTACAAATCCTAAAATATTAGTCCGTTCATTTTCTTAGGTTTAGTGTCCTCTTGTCTAGGGCTTTACCAAATTCAAAGTCTAGGTCTTCACTCTAATCAGCAGCTAGCTCTTACAGTAGTACTAACAACAAGCTTAGACTGACCTGACCATGGCTCCCAGAAGCAAGCCGCGCAAAAAAGCTCACAAGCTCGGTGGCTCCGATGGGATTTTCCAATTTCCGGAGGCGATTCTGCAGAAAATCTTCTTCTTCTTACCCGTAGAAGACGCAGTATCACTATCAGCTGCTTCCAAGACTTGGCGAAATGTCTGGACTTCACTTCCAATCCTCAACCTAAGATTAGATCACAACGAATATGTCACTTTCGAGAGCTTCGTCTCTTCAGTCGAAGACTCCTTGTCAATCCTAAGATCTCGCAAAGCAAAAATTGAGAGCTTCTTTTTGACGATTGATCCGCAGGAAAAAGAGGGTTCGGACTTGGAATCTCACCTCCATGACTGGCTTACTTTAATTATGAAAAACTATGTCAAGGAGATAGAACTTAGGGTTTCTGAATCTCCGAACGACATTTTCTACACTATACCCCAATCAGTTTTCACTTCGAAATCTTTAGTCAAACTTCAGCTGATAGGTTGCAAATTTCCGGCTGACATTTTATTCTCTGATGGTGGTGGTGATCGAAAGAAATCCAGGAGGCGTCGTCATGAATTTCTCTGTCTTAAAGAGATAATTCTTGAGGATGTTGTTGCTCGTGATGATCAAATCAAGGAACTTGTGAATCATTCTAAGAACTTTCTTGAGAAGCTGACCATTAAAACGTCTCCTGCAATGGAACTTCTGAGTCTCGAATTCTTCTTAAAGCTTAGTTTTATTGAAGTGAATGTTAAAACATTGCGTGTAGCTCAGGCTATGAATCTGGATACGATGGTTCTATATGGGCTTCATAGATTATATGCTTCTGATGTATGGAACATAAAGACACTGAGATGCTTAACATGGCACACAAGGGCCTACCAATGGATCAAAGCATTTATATCCATACTCCCACTTCTGGAGACGATCCAAATGTTTATGGTTCGTAATGAGAAGATTCAGATTCGAAGTGATTCTCTTAAGAGTTTCTTTTTGTGTGAAGGTCAGAGATTTGAGGAGCCTATAGAAGTTGAGGTTGATGCTCCGAGACTAAGCAAAATCTATTTCACTGGGTTTTCTTTTCCTGAGATTACAATGTTGAGACGGAGTCCCAGAGTTGAGCTTCATCATTTTGGTCATTCTTCTGGTGGCATTGATAGCTCTCAACTTTACAGGCTTGGAAAGTTTTCACAAAACGTGATCCACCCACTGCTACAAATACACTTGCATAAGATTTTTATTGAGGTATGTGAATTATTCTTTTGGTTTTGGGTAATTAATTATTGTTGCAATTTATTTTTAAGAGGCATTAACAAATTTTCTTTGTATATATCCTAGAGGTGTACATGTTGAATGATCTTATTTTCTAAGCCTGCTGTGATGTATATAGTCATTGTTGTTATTGCCAATTAATTAATAATTTGCAATCTTTGTTGTTACATATGATATGATGATCAATATTATTAATTGATCAATCATTACGTTTCTGCTCTTAAATTTGATAGAACTAAGGTAGTTGAATTAGGAGAATCTCCGAGAACCCCAGATGATAATTTATCTTTAAAGAAGAAAATTGTAATTCCTCTTTAAATAGAGTATTGATGGAAGTTGGCAGTCTCAGATGACGTGATGATGCATGAAATCTACGGTACGTAGTAGCATACACTATGTACTAAAATGCCCCGTCGAACATTATATAGATTGTTCTACGAGATACTTAAGTGCTTTAATTTGATCATTTATGTGGAGGCATTGGTTGAAGAAAAGGTTAAAAATATTATGAATCCCAAAACTTTTTTGCACCTTCAAAAAGAGAACAATATTATTATTAATTGTGGGTTATGTCCGAAGAATATCCTCTCTCTGACACATATATAGCCGAACATAATCCATCTTTTCGCCTGCAAAACATATCATTTTTTATGAGAATACCAAAAATAATTCAAATTATAGAAAGGGAGGGTACTTTTCTTTGCTAGTCCGACTCCCAAAAGTGTTATACGATTTGCTTTCTCTACCCAGAAGACTAACAATTCCTGTATACCGAGTTCTGTTTGTGTACTTGGAAAATTCTATAACTCAATGAACTTCTTCGGTGTGATGAACTTAAGTTTATTTTTTTCCTGGAATATATATATTGACTTTTTCAAACAATTTTGAATGGACAGAATCTGCTGACTCTGGGAGAGCTGAAAGAACATCCAGTTGTGTATCATCCAACAAACGTAACAATGTTGGTTATTGAGTGCATTCCAGTTGCCTCGAATTACTCATCTTTTCTCAATGCTTTGTTTTGGACCTGTCATCCCAGCCGTCTGATTGTCTTAATGAATAGAGAAGAAACCCTAAAATCACCTCACAAGGCCAGTTTCATACGCGTAAGTGATCGATGCCAAAACTTAGGAAAAAAATTTATATACAACACATATACTGTTATTTTATCTTCATCGTATTTAGATTTCATGAATCAATACCAAAGTTTCTGTTTTTAGAAAAGTAGACTCAAATTTATAAGTACCATGTGAGTCTTTTAGTTTGATAAGTATGTGCGGATAAAATTATGTGTAAAAAAGTGTAATTTACGTCACTAGCCCTATGGTTCATGAGTTCAACCCCACACATCCTAAACTGTTAAGCTCAGCCCTTCTATAATTGAAAAGAAGAAGATTAAGAGAGAGGGAGAGAGAGGGTGTGGTTCATGGTTTTTGGGTAAGTCAGTTAAATAGGGCTAAGTGATTAGAGATGACGGTGATGGAGAGGAATATGAAAGAAAATATATACTCTTCCGATCCTAAATATAAGACCTAATTAACTAATTTGAATAAATTAAAGATGTTAACTAGTTAAATTAATTAATATGATATTTTTTTTCTAAAACATCCTAATTATTTTTCTTAATTCCCTCCCTTCTTTTCTTACTTGATTATTATTGAGGGAATATCAACAAGATAATTTAGAAAAAAAATTGATTAGCATGTGAAATGAGTCTTGCATATAGAACCAACATCAACTATGCGATTAGGACATACATTAAGGACTGCAGGAGTAGTAACAAATCTCCTACTACAATATGGAAGGTCTTTTGTGTGAAATCTCTCCAATCAAGCATTGTTAACCTTTTCCTCCAAGAAGGTGGTATTAGAGTTAAGGTTAAATAACCCAGGTTTAAAGAGTGGAGGGGTGTATGTGAGGATTTTAAAGAGGGAAGGCTATTGTAGTAACAGCAGCGCCAAATCAAAAAGATCTGTGAAATTTGTGATATCTCTCTATTTGTTTAAGATGTCAGAGTGTCTCCGAGTTGAGAGAAGCTGTTGAGTGTGTGCAAGTCGAGTAACAACGCCAAGGAAAATCTCTCTATGTGTCGATCGAGTAACTTCTTCTCGATCTCCCTCCAACATCTATATTTATGTGGCACTAACATGTCAAATAATTAGGAATATTCCATAAGAACACATTAAGTTATAACTTGGCCCATTATTATCTATTTTCTCTTTATCATGCATCGTTCTCTACTTGAATTATTACAGTATCATCATATGCATTAATTCATCTTTATTATGAGTAATTTTGCCTGATTGTTGCTTAATTAATTACTTAATTAATTAATTAATGTGTTGGTCGTCATGCATAATGTACAATATCATATATTGCAGTACCTTGTAGATGAATTAATGAACAGGAAGGAAACGAATCCAAATTGTTGCCCTGAACATAATAAACCAAAGTGCTGGAGGCATTACATAGTGGATGTGACATTTGAACTATACAGAAGCACGCCGCATGAGTTTGATGAAGCTGAGGAACTCACAAACATCCCTCTCGAGAAGGCACAGAATGGAGCATTTTCCCTCCTTCAAACCACAACCAGAGGATTCGTTGTGCAATTTAGGCTTTTATGGCTACCTTATCCAGTTTAATTTTCCTTGTAGAATTGGTATACAAACTAGCTAGCTGGTGAGGTACTCCTCCGGTCCTAAATATAAAAACTTTATACATACCAGTATAAAGATCCTATATTTAAGGCCAGAGGAGTATTTTTTTTTAATTAGATATGTAATGTGTGGAAGTTTAATTTGTGACATGATGATCTATTTTAATATGATAGATTGAGGTTGGATTTGGGTCATCATTTATCATCATGACTCGTGTGCACATTATATTATATATTTTTTCTTAGAAATTTTGAGCTAACGGGGGAAATTGATTTTTGTTTAATGGTTTTTGCATTTTGGAAATGGTCTATTAAATTGGAGGATTATCAGTTGCTTTCGGATGTAGCTTTTTTTGTTTTTTAACTATAATTATTGCACCTTAACCATAAATAGAACGGATCCTCCCTTTTGACGAAAGTGGTAAACATGTTCTTTTTTTTATTATTATTAATTAGTATTTTACTTGTTCGTATCTGATCAAAAAAATATAATTTCACAATGACCTAATTTTTTACGAAAGAAATCACATGCAAAATTCAAAAATAAAAATAATAAATTAGAAAGAGCTAAGAATAAAGTACGTTAAAAAGAATAAAATTTTATTCCTTCAAATCCTAAATATAAAATTTAGCTAAATGATTCGTAGGATGAAAGAAACTAGTTAAATTAGTTTTTATTGTTATTAGGCAAAAAAAATAGGTGCTAATTAAGGTAATATAGGAAAAAAATATTAAATGAAGAGGATAAAACAGATTGAGTTCCTACATTTATGATTAAAATAAATCTCTCGTTGTCGAAATAAATCACTTAACTAAGTCTTACATTCAAAAGGACCGATCATCTATTTAATTACATACGATGTTGAAGTTCTAATCAATTCAAATTAATGGCCAATTAATAAGGAAGCATGATTAAAGAGCATAATTGGATTAATATACACCCACACGATGGATAGACAAAAATATACATTAATTAATCTATAATTAAAGCTAAACAATGTAAGAATAGAGGAACTAACCATACATAAGCATAGTTCTGCCTCCTTCATGAATACTCATCTTTTCTCGATGCCTAATTATTTTGGAGATGTCACCAAATTTGTTAGCACAGAAGAAACTCTAAGATTAATCCGTTTAAGTTCATACGAATTTTACCAAGATGATTCTAATTAAACACCGGGAAACTAAAAATGAGGAAAATAAAAATATAAGTGTTTCAAATCCAAGGGGGAGAACTCAGAACGCTGTCATTTTATATTTATTGGATCAGGACGTCAAATTAAATTAATATTTCGGGTTTTTGTACATTTGATACATTAATGTTCAAGGTCCCTGCCTGTTGTTTTCTTTTGAATACTAAAAGATATTCATATATGATATGACACTATAGAGTTATAGACTACAAATTCATTTCACTAAAGCAACATTATATATATTATACTACCTTCTGTCCTAATTATAAGATCTCGTTTATAGTCTATAAATAAAATCTTATAATTAAGACCAAAGGTAATATTACAGTGCCACAATTTTTTTTCAATTAAGTCCGAATAATGGTTATTTTAAATCTCTATCTACATTTCATTTCGCCCTTACCATCTAATTTAGCCTAGATGTATTACTTTTGATTTTGCTACCCTTTTCCAGCTGCATATGATTCTTCCTACTCATTTATTTTGATTATGCAATTTTTTAAAATTTTTGGCTATCCAAGGGAAAAATGAGCGGCACGTAATAAGTTACACCCTCAATAATGATCCATTATAAATAGTTGTGAGAACTATCCATTATATATACACCCATATATATTTGTATATTGAGGTCTAAATGTTTTTTTCATCTAGATTCATTTGATGAGCTTGTTTTTTTAACATACCTTTCAATTCATCAAATAAATTAAGCATATACTGATTAATTTAACTCTCCCCAAAAAAAAAAATGGGACTTTTCCCTCAAACAAAAATGAGATTTTACTGTGTACCCGAAGAAAAAAATATTCAGACTTTATTATACTCACACATGAATGAAAGCTAGTACCTTCAACGATAATTAATGAAATTCAAACCAGTATTAATTAAAAGCATTTAATGATATAAATGCAGTTGCACTGGTACCCCTAAAATAATATTATATGAACTTGTGTCAATCACGTTAAAGACCATGGCAAAAAAATCACATTAAAGACAAATTCATGTAACAAGCAAGAAAAAAAAAATACGTCATTTTGAATTTATAAAAAAAATGGAAACATATAATTATTAATACCGCAACGGAGCAACACCCATATTTAATTAGTGAATAAAAAATCAGGATAAATATAATCTTATTAAATTGTTCTTTCTTTCAAGTACGGGGCCAATTCATCCCACCCGATTAATTGGTATATTAAATAGCCCTGAAAGACATTGAGCTAGAAGCTGTTATGACATTTTTAATAAGATGAATTAGTGAATGAAAATTTGCCAAAAGCAATAAAGAGATAAGAAGCAAATAAGATATTTTAAGTATATTGGATCTCTCACGTGTTTGGTGATAAGTTCAAAAAAAATTCTATAAAATACAAGAAACTCACTTCAGTCTTTTCAGTGTTCCTAGGAGGCTAGGACTTTACCCCGGTTTATGTCTGAAATCTAATCATTTGTTGTCGCAGCGCTTACAGTACTAGGATCAGATCCAGGCTCAACCATGGCTCCCAGAAGCAGAAGGAGGCTCAAGCGGCGCAAAATCTCACCAGAAGCCACCCAACTTGACAGCTCCGATGGAATATTACGGTTGCCGGAACACATCTTGCAGCATTTATTCTTTTACTTGCCCTTTGAGGATTCAATATCCTTATCTGCTGTTTCAAAGACTTGGCGAAGCATCTATAAGTCCCTTCCAATCCTCAAAATTAACTGGGATTTTGAAGAAGGTGGCAAGACCCTCGAGGACTTGGTCGCTTCGATCGACAAATCCTTGTCAACCCTAAGAAATCAGAGAGCAAAAATTGATAGCTTTCGTCTGAATTTGGGTCCGTCGGAAGAAAAGGGTTTGATGTTGAAAACCAACTTTGATGATTGGCTTTCTTTAATCATGAAAAATCATGTGAAGGAGATAAATTTTAGGGTTTCCAACAATCACTTCACCGTACCCCATTCAGTTTTCACCTCGAAATCTTTAGTCAAACTTCACTTGAAAGGCTGCCAATTTCCGACCACCTTCTCACTCATCGGAAATGACGACGACGACGACGGGGATGATGAAAGAAAATCCTGGTTTAATAGCTTCAACTGTCTCAAAGAGATATCTCTTGTGAATGTCGTTGCCCGTGAGGATCAAATCCAGGAGCTCATAAATCTTGCTAGAAACTTGCTTGAGAAACTACGGATTAAAACGTCTCCTCCACTGCAACTTCTGAGCCTTGAATCCTTCTCCAAGCTTGGTTCTTTTGAAGGAAATGTTAGAAAAGTGTACATAAATAAAGCTGTGAATCTCCAGAAAGTGGTTGCCGATGAGCTTAAGAGAGCATATATTTTCCGGTCTGAAAATATAAAAACATTAAGGTGCTTGAAATGGAATAACAGTCCCTTCAGAACATCGATCCAAGCCCTTGTCTCTTCCCTCCCACTACTGGAGACATTGCAATTGTCTATGTTTCGTAATCAAAGGATAAAGATTCAAAGTGAACCACTTAAGAGGTTGATGTTGTCGGAAGGTGAAAGGTTTGAGCAACCTTTGGCGGTCGATCTGGACGCTCCTGGGCTCAGGAAAATCTATTTCAAAGGTTCTTCTATTCCGTTTGTTACAGTGTACGGAGAGAACCAGCAACTTCGGTGTCGTCATCTTGGTGGTCTCCATGGCTCTCACCTGCACATGATTGGCAGGTTTTCGCAGAACTTAATGCAATCAATGGTAACAATACATTTGCATCAGATTTCGTTGGTTGATAAGGTATGAGAATTTTATTATATTCTTTTGCTTTTCTATTTGATCATGCGTGAAATTGATTTTAAGAGGCATGCATTCTTGTGTGTGTATAGCTAGGCAGTGCCCACATTGCTTTCCATGGGATCATAAACCATACTTAAAATAACTTCCTCACAATGTTTTATTGACATGGACTCTATTGTCTGTTATATGTCATTTTCAAAGGGAATCAACGTTACACACACACATAAAGTTCTTACGTGAAAGGAACATTTGAATCTAATTATGTGACAAATTTATGTGATAGACTGATAGTTATGTATATTCCAGTTGAATCTCATTCTTGCACTGTATTATGAATCTTTCATTTGTTATATATTACTACCACCGCTCCTATATATATATATATATATATATATATATATAAACTAGTTGAGGGTTGAATTTGGTCTTAAATATATAAGACCTCAATCCACTTGTCTCACTTTTTTTTTTAGAATATCCTTATTAATTGTAAGTTATTTTCACTAAGGGATAATTCCAACCATCCAATACACATAATTAAAGATGATAGTTTAGGGAGACCAATGCACATTCGTGACAAATAATTAATTTAATTAACTTCTTTAATATTCTTAAATAAGTTATTTAGCTGATATATTAAGGACCAAATGTAGTAAAATTATGTACACACTTTAAAGTCTTCATTAATATTTTTTTTTTTTTAACAAAGTCTTCATTAATATGAGGAGGCTGAAAACATGGTATAATATTGTGTGAGCATTCTGTTGCCTACCAGCTTAGCTCATGAGTTCCCCCTTCCATTTTATTTCTACATAGCGAGAATGCCACATTTGTGTATATGAGGGGTAATTTAGTTCAAATGAAAAACCTTAAGAGCTAAGAGTCACGATTCATGAGGGCTGTCACGTGTATATAAGTTGGTTTCCACATTTGTACTATTGGGCTTTTCCACGAGAATGTTGATGCCAAAATAAATATGCAACAAACACGTTATGCTAAAATGGAGACATGATCCTATTCTTTAAGCCTTCGCTCTAGGAACCAAGGCCTAAGAGTAGAAGTACTGGGAACTAAATCCTTTTTTTTTTTTTAATTCGGTCAAACAATTAATCCAAAAGTAAATTATGCAAGATTTATAAAACCAACAGGGGTTTGAATTTAGTAAAAGAAGGCAGTCCTTGACAATATGATGAATTAAGATTTAAGTATCCACTAAGAGGGTTGCAGTGCTTGAGAGTGCATCAAATAGAAATGTTTCCAATAAGAGAATACCCCTATCTGAAATTAATTATACACCTCGTGAATAGTCAAGAACTAGATTCAGGTATGCACAATCCTTGTCTAGATTAACCTAGGGCCCTTGAGTATTTCCATCTCAATTGCAAATTAATTTAGGCAAATTCTAATCCTAGGTTACTTTGCAATTTCCTTTTTCTCAAAGGGCGCATATTCCAACACCTAAACACCCACAAGAGCCGGCCAATCATCTGCAAGAGAATATTAACTCAGATTAAGCACAAAATAAAGCATCCCTCCTCCCCCCGCCCTCCACACACACTAGACAACAATAATCAAGGAAGAATTCAACTATACAGTGCTTAAGATATAGAGTTCACAGAGATCCTATAGTTTACAGAAGTTTAGCCACATATAGCTTGAAATACCAAGTTTATTCAACAGAAAATCTCAACGATAGAGAAGATGATGATGAAGTGCAGCAGAAATTATCACTAAATAAGAAGCTTCCTAGGACTCTCATGCCCCCTTTGGTATATTGGAATTGAGATTGGAGAAGTGGAAGGGAATTCTTGGAAGTGGTGTGTTTGGTACAATGGCTCCCAATGCCTCTTGAGAACTCTCAAAATGTGGAACAACCTCAATCCTCGCTAGCTTCCTCTTCCTTTCACAACCCCAAAAATAGAACCTGGCTTTTGGATATGCGAAGTTACAGAGTCATTAGGTAGCTAGTTGCTCTTCTCATTCATATAAGGTAATATTTTTGTTGATCCATGATATTGGGTAGATATTTATTGATCTCTAGATACCACTACAAGTTTTTAATATAAGACTCAATTAACTAATTTGAAAAAAATTAAGAAAGCTACCAAATTACTTTAAACTACTTATATTTATCATTTTTCTTCAAACTAATTTGTTTCACTTATAAATAATTGATATATAATCTAATAATCCACATAAGTATCTTAGAGTGATCATATAATATATCCTATAATTAAGTAACTTGGTAACTTCATTAATCTCCAAATTATTCGATTGAGTCTTGTATTAAGGATTGGAGCTAGTATTATATTTTGTTTTCCTACCATTTATACGTATAGGCCTATTAGATTCTTGCTGCAATTTCACGCATATATATATATATATATAGAGAGAGAGAGAGAGAGAGAGGCCATGCTTCAGCGAAAGCAATTATTATATATGGAGTTTAGAGCTGAGATGTTTTTGTGAGTGTGCGCTTGTGTATTCACACTTACGCTGTTTTTATTTTCTAATTAAGCTTCCTGTCTTGTTATCGTCGTTATTGCTAATTTAATTGACCTGCATTCCTTGTTCGCATCGTTTCATATCTATTAGAATGTCATATCATTAACATATGTTTAAATAGAACCGTGCGTAATTTCCCATAATGGATGTTGGAAGCTAAGTTGTCGATCAATCTCAATATAGACGATAAATGAATTACTCTTAATTTGGACGAAAATCTTATTATTCCCCGACTTTTTATTTACTTTGCAGATATATCTTTGTGCGTGTGTGTGTGTCATGAATTTACCAAGTTATTTTGTTCTGACTTGATACTTTGAAACAATTCAGAATGGACAGAACGTGGTGAAGAATCTGGAAGAGTTGAGAGGAGAAAGAGAAATCCCCCGTCCTTCAAGTGTGAAGATGTTGGTACTTGAATGCATTCCAAATGCCTCAGACTACTCCTCTTTTCTGAATGCCTTGTTTTGGACTTGTCATCCAAGGACTCTGCTCGTCTTGTTGACCAAGAAGGAAACCTTAAATTCACCTCACAGGCCTTCTTTCATTAGCGTAAGTGATATTCCCTCTTATTTTTAATTTCATCATCCTCGTATTTAGATGTCCTATGCCAATATTAGTCCAAGGTTTCTCTATCACGATGCATAAAATACAACTTAAATGGATCATATTTAATCACCAAATCAATATGAGTTCTCCTAACTTTACTGTCATGCAGGAAATCTGGGGTATTACAGTGTCTTTAGACTATCTATATAATTAATCGTCCATTTGGTTAAAACAATAAAATATGCTATTTGCAACTATAAATATAAGAACTAACTTGGAGATTGGATTTGGACATTTGGTCCTAAATATAAAACTTCAATTCACTTTATCTCTCAAATTTATAATTTTTTGTCCAATTGTTCCTATTTATTGTACGGGTTCCCACCAAGAATTGTTCCAAAGCATGTTATTAAAGAGGTTAGTTTAGGAAACTTAATTAAAATTTTATTAATCTCTCCAAATTAGTTAACTAAGGAAACTTAATTAAAATTTTATTAATCTCTCCAAATTAATTAGTTAACTAAGGAAACTTAATTAAAATTTTATTAATCTCTCCAAATTAGTTAACTAAGGAAACTTAATTAAAATTTGATTAATCTCTCCAAATTAGTTAATTAAAATTTTATTAATCTCTCCAAATTAGTTATCTAACTACTACATTAAGGACCAGATGTAGTAAGAAATTAAGAAACTAGACACATTTTTGGGCGCATTATATATTACGTAGAACCTCTGAGAATCGTAGTATAACGCTGTCGATCACCATGTGACCTGTTAGTCATAGGTTCAAGTCGGGGAAATAATCTGTTGCAAATATGCAAGATAAGGCTGTGAAATAAATTAAACCTAAAGTAGTTCCAAGCTTCATTCTTCAAGCCCTGTGCACCAAACTGTATATCTCTTTATCATTTAGAGTCTGAAGCGAGAGTGATGATATTTATTTATTATCGCTTGCTATAGATTTCAAAATTATGCATAAATCGATTCTCTTCATACACAAAAATCAAAATATACAATATTTATAATGTTTATCTTATTTATCGATCCAAAGATAGAACGACTATATATATATATATTTGTATTCCCCAAATTAAAATCACCTTTTTGTTCCATTATAATACGCATTATATCTATATGTGTCATCCACGCATTTTTGTGAGGGAATTTTATAAGACCGCCTCATATTTTTATGCGTCTGTAATCTGTTTTCTCTCTTTATATCTCTCTCATTATTCATTGTTGTGAATTTGTCATATTTTTAGGGGTTGCAAGCACTTTTTTATGTCATATATTTTTGTGAATATAGGGAATCTATAAAATTAAGGTGGTAAACACACATTGAATTTTGGGTGATTAATTGATTAATATTACTTTAGTTTTTACTATAAGACCTAATTATTAATTTAATTTTAATCATAAAAGTAAGACATAGTTCTCATATTTATCAATTTTTTTAAATTACTCATATTAATATATACTCTGTTAACTATAATCAAATAGGAGAGGGAAGTAAAGTATTAAAGAATATGATTATAATGATGATTTAGGAAAAATATGTTATATTTATTATAATTAACTAACTCACCTAATTTTTCTAATCTAATAAAATTAGTTAAATAAGTCTTTTACTGCTTGACTTGTTTTGTTGGTGATGTATTAATGTGTGTGTGTGTGTGTGTGTGTTTGTGTTTGTTATATATTTTGCAGTACCTTGTGAATGAGTTATCACGGAGAAGGGACAGGAATCCAACATGCTGTTTGGAACCTGACAAACCAAGGTGCTGGAAGCACTACGTGGCGCAAGTGAAGTTTAATGTGTACAATTACAGCATGCTGGATGAGGAGCTCACTGACGATGATGATATTGACGATTATTATGATCAAATTCCAGAAAATGATGAGATCTCTGATGATGTTGATGATACCTCAAATGAACAAGAAGAAGATGATGATAATGATGATGACGACGACGAAGAAGAAGAGCTTGTTGTCGAATTTCGGATTGTGTGGAGGCCATACCCATATTATTTTCGGCGACTAGAGTTCTGAACAATGGCCATGAAGGCTGATTGCTCTTGCAATTACAGATATATACATATATATATACTCCTCCGGTCCTAAATATAAGACTCTTATACATATATATATGTACTGTGTTTGTTGTCGTGTTCGTGTTCTTCTGTCTTATTTCGGTAACCATGCAGATTCGTCATGAAGACTGATGGCTATATGTTGTCAAACTAAGAATATGTGTACTGTGTTTATTGTTGTGTTCGTGCTCTTCGATGGTGTTCTGTTGCGTTCGTGGGTCGTCCCTATGTTACTATATACTCCTCCGGTCCTTAATATAAGACCCATTTAACTAATTTGATTAGATTAAGGAAGTTAGTTAAGTTAGTTAATTATAAGAAATGTCACATGTTTTTCTTAAAATACCATAATCATCTTTCCTAATACCCCTCTTCCTCTTCTACTTAATTATGGCTGAGGGAGTATCTATAGGCGTAATTTAGAAAAAATTGATAAATATCAGAAATGTGTCTTATATTTAGGACCAAAACCAACTCAACAATTGGCTCCTATATTAAGGACCGGAAGAGTATATCTATATGCATTATGTATGAACTGTTTGTGTGAATTTTTTCTTGCTGTTTAATGTTTAATCAGTGTTAATGTTTGTGACATGGCATGATTAATATCTGCTAAAGTTTTTTTTTTCCCGGTTGAATTCATCATATTTTCTCTTCTTTTTTTTTTTAAAATTGGGTCAAGGCTTCTTCAGATAAATACAGAGAAGATAAAACTCTGGGGACTTGGACCACCTTCCTCGACTTCGAGGCCATTATTCTTCATAGAATAGATGCTCTTAGAAATAATTATGAGAGTTAACAGGAAAATTGATTTTAAATTTGTTTAAGAATGTTGGTTCTGTGAAGAGCTGTTTTCGAATATGAAACATAGCATGGCATGAGTTAGAAAACTGATTAGATAATCTCTTTATTAAATATAATAAATATTTTTTAAAAAATAAATTTTACTTTATTAAATAATATAAAATAACCAAATGCTCATCAAATAAATGATTTTACAGGGAAAAAAATACAATAACATAACATAAAACAAATAAAAATACAAAAAGTATTTTCCTGGCTCATTGTCCAATTGCCCTAAAAAAGGTTGGGCCCATATAAAAAAGGCCAAAGCAAAACTCACTTTGGCGCATTATAAAATTATTTGGCCCATTTCTTGTTTTTAATACAATAATGAGGGGAAAAAATCTTCTATAGATCACGTGGTACTTTTTTTATGATGTTTTCCCAAGCTAAACGTTAGCAATATTTTAAAAGAAATAGAAAGTGACATGGATGTGTGATTAAAAAGAAAAGAAACAAAAATTAAAGTATTAGGACACATAACCCCGAAGTCGTTCAAGTTTTCAGTGATCTTTCGACTATCGTCTTCATGTGTTCATTGTTATCGTATTGTGCTCATTAACTCCATTTAAAGCCAAGCCTTAATTTTATCGTTGTGACGTGTCTGAGTCCATTGCTCTGATTCGAGACTATAGTTATGTGTATTTCTTTGAGGTGTTTATTTTTTCTTTCCTTTGAGGCACAAAACATATGCAGTCAATAACATCCATATAATACAAGAAAAATACGATAAAGTTCTAAATTTTTTTTATATCAAATAAATAATTTCAAAGAGTGACATCTCAGGATGTCAGACCTCTTAAAAGGACATTTTCTGACTATGTAAAAAATGGTTAGGCCCTTTAAAGTGGCATGGTCATCAATTGACCAAGTAATATGATACTACTTCCTATTCTTAATATAAGATCTTATTTGATTTTTATTTTAATCTTAAATATAAAATTCCAATCTATTTTGTCTCTTATATTTATATATATTTTTTCTAAAGTAGTCCTTCTTATAACAGTAGTTGTAGCCAATACACTTGATTAGCAAAAATATTTTAAAAAAGATAATATTTATTTATTACAAATAACTAACTTAACTTAATTTTTTAATCTCTTCAAATTAGTCAACTAGTTTTTATAATTACCACTAGAAGTAATATCTTTATTATGAAATCTATAACGTAACAATATTAAAAATAAATAAATAAATAAATAAACAAACAAACGACTGACTTGAGCCGCTAAGAGCTCGTGGGTGGCTTGCTCACTCATATTGCTGTTGTATGAACAGTAGTGGCTAAGTGAACAATGAAGGCTCAATTCCTATGGCTCTGTGCCTTTCATTGTGAAGTGTAAGAATAGGACAAGTCATGGGGACCTAATGTGTACGGCGCAATTGTTGGCTGCATTGCGCCTTTATGACCAGAGTTCTCGTATGTTTGGTGTGGGCTTTTTTGCTGTTTAATTTCAACAGGGGTGGGTCTTTTGTAGGAGGGTGCACACATTTTTACTTTTTGGGAAACTTTCGATATATCTCAAATTTATGTTATTTGCGCATCCAGTTTTGTTGGAAGGACATTTAATGGAGTTTGGTAGAAATTGGTTAATGAATGGTTGTGGTTGGTGGGAGTAGAAGCGTGTTTGTTTGCATATTCACAGTTACTGATTGCATGGATTCATATCCTGTTGCCTTCTTTTATATCCAGCACTGTCTTGGCTCCTTGCTCTATTTCATGTAGATTTCGTAGTTCTTTTTTCTAGATTTCATGTAGATTTAGCTCCCGGCTTGAAGATTCGGCACCTCACAGAGAATTATCGTGAGGGTGGACAAGACTGCTATGAGGACCAACTTTGATATTCATGATCATGATTGTGGCTACCCAAAAAAACTGATCTCGCTGGATATGATGGTTTTTTATGAGGATGTAAGGATGTGTCGGTATTCTCTTTGTATGGTGTGGCCTTATATTCATTAGAGGCTTATATGCACAGGGAACGATAATATTGATGCGCCTTGAAGGTGATGATATGATTGATCAGTTTTGTAACGTGTGGAAAGAGGAGGACGGGTACATGATTTAGGACTTTTTTGTGCGTCATTGGGGCGAGGCGATGCCTGGTGATTGTCACATTGTTCTGATGTCTAATACTTCTCCGATTCTTAATTTAAGACTTAATTTAACTAATTTGATTAGATTAAAAAAATTTATTAATTACAAAAAATATAATATGTTTTTTCTCAAACACAATGATTATCTTTCTTAATATTTCCCCATCTTCTACTTAATTATAGTTAAAGGATTATCTATGGGAATAATTTAGAAAAAATTGATAAATATGAAAAAACAAGTTTTATATTTAGAACTAAAATCAACTAAACAATTAGATTTTATAAGGACTAAAGGAGTACCATTTTCTGGTGCCGTGCACAGTGGTTGCCATGTCGCAGTTTCAAGTTTTCATCTGTTCAATCCATTCTAGACGATTGAACTCCGGGTTATAAAGGTAGAGGTTGGTACCGTGACTCTAAAATGCTCAATATTTTTCCTCTTAAGAAGCATATTTGAGTGTAATATGAGATTGTTAATATGTTTATTTATCATTGTCCTAGATGTTATCAGTGTTTTAGGCCGGATGGAGGATTTGCAGATCACAAGGGATCGGGGGCCGCTCGCTTATGTGTTGGAATTTGTTGTACAGGATTTAGAGTTGAGTTGCCTGGCTAATAATTTGCTGGAATATAATTATTATGTTTCATTCACTGTGTTTTACATGTATGGGTGATTGCTAAGTTTATTTTTGATGAATTTGTAGTCAGGGCAGGATTAAGTGTGAGTTTTTTTGCTAATATTTTTTAAGAATGTTAAATTTAAATTTTAAAATATTGAAAATTATATGGAACTCCATGTAAAATTAAGTATATTTTGTATAATATTGTAGACAAATTAAGATGTCTAGAAATGTGAATTCTGAATTCTCTCATATAATGGTAACTTATTTTTTCATATTGTTAGGAGCCTGAAAAATAAAAAATGGGAACGCTAACACCAATATGTTTTCATGTAAATTACTTACATTCGAAGAAGCAGTCACGTATAGGTATAGGATTTAATTTGGGCTATCGCATTTTGAGGAAATCATTTGTAATATTTCTTTTGTTTATTAAAAAAAATACAGGGACATGAGAGCTATCTTCTGGCTACTTTTTAGTGTATCCAGATTGTTTTGTATCAGTATGCGACAGATGGTTAATCCCACTCAGATGTTTAGGTATGTAAGAAAAATGCTCTATTGATAGATAGATCATTACAGTATAAAATTCAGATCTAATTGTCATACTGCTGGTATCAATTAATGTCATGATATATCGATTTTCCGAATGAAATGATAACATGTCTATGTTGATATTTCTCATGTTACTGAACTAATTTTGAGAAGGTTTGCTTAAAGATATATTCCCCAGGCAAGGCAATCTTGAGCCGCTCAATTTGTATATTGTAGATTAGTTTTTTCTTACTGAGCTGGCTAAATAATGACAGGGCAGGCTTATTCAGAGAAGAATGAGTGATAAGCATGTTGCAAAAATCAAATCAATGGACAGTGATGAGTACTAGAGATGGCTAGAATAGTCTGTTTGTTAGGTTGAAGCAGTAGTTACCAAAATACGTGTTAGACGTTAAAAAAAATGTATTTAGTAGTCAACATTACACTGGCCAAATGGAACCATATTAAAGAATTAAGTTTGGCATTAAATTATAATGTAGTTTGTCACAAAATAGATGAAAATAGTAGTAACTTTGATGGTAATACCAAACCACCTAGCCATTCAATTTCAACTAAATGAGTGATAATAATTCTGTTAGTTTAGTTTTTACAACGTCTTTTTTTTATGCAGTATGTATTTTTTAAAATAATAAACTATTTTGGGTTTTGATTTTCCCAGGTGGTTTAGTGGTATCCTATATAAAAGTGCTTAGGCCTACCATTCTTAAAGTGACGATTGAACTCTGTGAACTTTTGTGTTATCAACTGATTGTTGATCCACGATAGTAAATGTCTCATCCTTGTGTCAGAATGCATCTGAGAGTAGACTTCTTAGGAAGTTTCCTATTGTCTTAACTACTACTATATGCAACCAACGGGTGGTACGTAGAGACACATGTTATGTAATGTCTATTATGAAAGGACTCATCTAATAATGTATCTGTATTATTTCATATTTTGTTCAGGATGAAAACTTTTTGATTAAATGTCTCATTATCAATATTGATACAAGATATGGATGGAAGTACAAAACTTTTGCCAGGTGTATTTGTAAGTTGAGACTTGTGAGGGGGAGTTTCATTAAATCTTGGAATTTTGTCTCATTAAATCTTGGAATTTTGTCAATGCTAAGGAGGAATTAGAAATTAAGCTTTATGAAGCAGCGACCAATGATGGTTTGTATGTAATTTATGTAATCTTCTTCGATTTAATAATTTGTCAGTTATACTTATTCATGAACTTGAGGGAGGTCTCTGTGAAACTCCACGATGAATGTGTTGCTGTTACAATATCCAAGATAGAATACATAAGAGTAAAATCTGGTGATTTTGTTATTGTCCAATACGCTACTGGGATGCTCTAGAAGAATCATGGTAGATGCACATAATTAACCTTTGATGCCTTGTCCTATTTTTGTGTATTTTTAACTTTCCATTTGTTTTGTTAATTGGATTTGGTGTATCATACAGGAGGTCCTCAATTGTCTTCATTTTGGGGGGCTACCAGAGTATTATTTGATGGAGACCTAAAGTAGGTAACTTGGATTGCAGAAAGTAGATTATATGGGGTGCCTAATTGTTTTTCGTGTTTAACATTATGTGTTTGCAAACAAATATATTTTGATGGATTTGTTGTGATTTATGTGATGCTATATTTGCTATAAGTAATTTTTTTGTAGTTTATGTTGTTTTTTAATTTTTGCATGGATTAATAATTGTAGTTCAAATATTCTTATTGTCATTATTGATCATTTAAAAATCTGTGTGGATAATTAGTACTAACAGTGATTGCATAAAATAAATTAGGCCGAGGGTTTGAGAGGGGCATTTCTGAATATAGTATTTTGAAAATTATCATTTGTTGTTCAAACGTTAGTGTTTTAGATGTAAAGAATAAAAAGGTTTTTTTTTAACTGTTTATAATTAAGAGTTATTGATTTTCAAAGAATGGACTAAATGATAGGAAGACAAATTTTTTAATCTAATTAGTCAATGCTTCCTATGAATCACGTGGAGATTACACTAGTTAAAAAAAAATTATATGAGAAACCCCTAAATGGTATCAGAAAAAAAAAAAGAATAGATGGACTATTCTGTTATTTACAAGGATTATTCCTCAAAGAATATTATAAGCATATTGGAGTTTTGAGTGATATATTTGTGGTCAAAGTCTTAGCAATATCTGACTGAATTATACAGATTTAATAATAGATTAAAGTTCGAGTTGGACCATAAACAATTAGTTTGAGTATGAGGAAACAAACTCAATAAAACTCTACAACTTAACGAAATTATGGCTATTTTAAACTGTAATTAAATGTTAAGAAAACCAAACACTGTATCGATGAGGGAATAGTTGTGCAGATTTTGAAGAGATAGATTCAGAGAGAGATAGAAAGAAGAAATATGATTCTGATACCAATTAATATACGATGAAAAGCAAAAAGCAAAGTGAATGTCTTTAAAAATTTTATTTTTACGAAGAAATTTGTATTATAATATCACATATATTAAAAGATCAATTAAATAATCTCTTTAAAAAGTGTAATAAATATTTTGTTTATAAAATTAAATTTATTTTATTAAAAACTATGAAATTATTATTATTATTATTATTTTGGCATGGAGAACTTAAATCAAGGAAGGGAAAGCCGGACCGCAAAACGACACAGCTTTGCCTTAGCGGGGTGATTCGGAAGCGCTGAACCAGGTGGATCCCGCGAACCAGCGATGGCGACACCTCCGATGGCGGGAAACGCATTGTTCGACGGAGCTGCGCCGCCGCCGCCACAACCTCCGGGAACTGACATGACAGGAATATGCTTCCGAGACCAGCTTTGGCTCAACACTTACCCTCTCGATCGCAACCTAGTGTTCGATTATTTCGCCTTATCCCCCTTCTACGACTGGACCTGCAACAACGAACAACTTCGTATGCGCTCAATCCACCCTCTTGATCCCTCTCAATTATCGTAAGATACATATCATCTGAGTCTTTATTGTATGAGTGTATCCGTCTACATGCTTCACTCATGCACGGACTGTTTTGAGTGTTTGAATTAGCTAGGGTTTTGGGAAGTGATTAAGATACCAGTTGGGAAATGAGTTTTATTTGAATCTATTTTTGTTGAGGATAACATTCTTGAACCTGGAATTGTTCTTGCGTTAGTTTAGTTGCACTGGAAATGTGGGAAGGATAAAAGTTGGAAGCTTCAGTCCTTTTTTTTTTTTTTTGGCGTGGGTAATATATTTTTTTGTGGGCTGGGAGGTTCTTACATTTTGTCTTGCTATACAATATCACTAGGATCATCAGTGTTCTGATTTACAGACTGAAGTCGGAACTATGATATATTTGATGATTGAATGGTGATTAAAAAAATCACATAGCACTCATGGAGGCGGCAATAGGAAAAGCTTTAGAACTGTCACTTAAAGATTTTAAACAGAATGCATATAAAAATTCGAACTAATAATGTGGATATATTGATTTGAAAGTCAATTGGGATGTTTTAAGATTCAGAATGCTCCTTTACATGACATCTATGCTCTGGGAATTTTAGTTCAGACTAAATCAATCATAAGTGACCATAAGTCTTGTTAGATATATGTTATACGTTAAGTCTGAACAAGATTGGCAATAATCCTAATGCAATTGTGTCAAGCATATGTTTCCTTGTTCACCCTACATCACTGCCTAATGGCATAGAATGCTGTGCATTGTTCATTTATTTGGGACAAAATTATGCAGTTGTTTTTGTTATGATTATTTGGTTGGTTTCGCTTAGGCATTTAGCCTCTGCATAAGGTTGTTTGAACAAGAGACTGTTATGTAATTCTGACTATTTTGCTCTTCAGGAAAATGACGGGCATAGAGTATATGCTTAGTGAAGTCATGGAACCGCACCTTTTTGTTATTCGCAAGCAAAAGAGAGATGGCCCTGAGAAAGTTACGCCGATGCTAGCTTATTACATCTTGGATGGTTCAATATACCAAGCACCACAGCTATGCAATGTTTTTGCTGCTCGAATTGTAAATTCATATTTTATATTATTGTTTGATTTGATTATTAGAATTAGAAATGACCTTGTCATTTGATTACTTATTTGCAACAAAAATGGATTTCGGTGATTGTGAAAATAGCAAATTTCCTTTGTTAGTCCTGAAACTGTTTGACTTCTGTTCCTTCATATAAAAGCAGTAGCAGCCTATTAGGTTATCAATCTGAATGTCTAACCACTGGAAATTGTTCATGAGATGACAGCAACAATATTTCAATTATGCTTTGTCCAATGAATTCAGTGCTGTGTGCTATCCTTTTCTCTTTTTTGTTAAAACAAATTCTGAGAGACAAGGTTCTGTTCATTCCTGGCTGTGATTGATCTTGCAGGGAAGGGCACTATATCATATACAGAAGGCTTTTAGTACAGCTGCATCGAAATTGGAGAAGATAGGATATGGTAAGCAGGGTTTTGTGGGCCTTTTTTAAAGGGGGGGTGGGGGTTAACATAGGACTGTTACTCGCTATGATGTGCTCCATTCAACTGTCTTAATTTGTTCTGACAATGAGTATCGCAGTGCCATTTTACCCTCTCACTCTCTAGCTTCTGTCTTTCTAAAGAGAATAAGCTTTCAACGAGTTTGAGCTGTTGAGATATTTGTCTATAAATTACTAGGTTTAGCATTGTTAGATTCTGAATGTAACGTTTAAGCCATCTGCAACTATGTTATTGCAAGTACACAAGGAAATGCAGCTAGTGTTACTTTGCCATCTAGTTATCTATGCCTTTCTTATTACCCCAACACTAGTGTTCTGCTTTCCCATGTCTAACCATTTACTTAATAGGAATGTTAATTGAACTCTGTTTCGTTTTTCTGCTTCAGTTGATTCTGAAAATGAGCCTGCAGTGCCAGAAGCGAAGGCTGATAAAGAGACAATTAACATAAAGGAAGTTATGCGGGTGGATCACATTCTTGCATCCCTACAGCGTAAGGTATGTTGAAACGATGCAGGTTTTCCATGCTTCCCTCCCTATCAAACACTTGTTTAGCGATTGGAATTATCTGCTTTTAAAGGGAAAAATACAGAAAACAAAAGGAAAAGGTTTAAGGGGAAAAAAATCATGTTCTTAGTATCTATAAAATCAAGTCGTGAAATAATTTGAAATGAACGTGCTGGTCATCTTCTGTTAGCCTTTGTCCTGTTGGCAATATCGCTATTGAACTGTTGTGAATATGTCAAAGATGGTTTTCGTTTAAATTTCCATTGAGTACAAGTTTCATTGTTCTGAATTGGTCCATAAATGTTATATCTCACTTTTAATCTGAAACACAAAATTTTGGTTTGTATTCACTTTTATATTGCTATGACTTGAGTATTATTAATTGTCCATTCCAGCTGCCTCCAGCTCCACCTCCGCCACCATTTCCTGAAGGCTACACTCCGCCTCCAACTGGGGAAACTGAGAAAGCACCGGAAGGTCAAGAAGCAGGAGAGTCTCAAGCTCCTCTTATTGATCCTATAATTGATCAAGGACCTGCAAAGAGGATCAAAGTTTGATATAAAAGAGAGAAACTGCAATTACTATGGAGATTTTCCCGCTAAGAAAAGGCCGTTGTTATTAACCGGTGGCCTGTGGTCTCCCTTGCTAGAACACGATGAGCTTCATGCAGCCCTCTCTTTTTTTTTTTTTTTGGGGGGGGGGGGTGTAACTCATGTTAGATAACAGATGATGTTCTGGTCCGGTGTGGATATTATCAGCTAGGCTCACTGTAATTTGATAATATACTTCGGCATCTGAAAGTGCATAATTGATAGTATAACCAGAATCAATCTTGAGTTCTGGATAAAGTGTCAAACCAATCATGAAAGACCAAGTTTGTAAAAATTATATCATTTTCATGGAAAAATGGTCGCCTTAGCATTTTGACATTTGGAACTATGGTTGATCTCGATTGACTGATAAAGTTGCAGGGTCGTTTCAAGGTTATTTAGGCATTGGGTGCCAAATGGAATGTGGAAATTGGAAGATTAAACCAGGGAAAAAGTTATGAGTAAGCTACTGCGGCTAAAAGGTATCCTATGTGATGCAAATTTGCAGAGATTTTTTTTTTGGGGATCAAATGGACTTTTTTGTTTTTGGTTTACCGTATGAAATCACGTTGTCCAAGATTATTCACATGAAGAGTCAAAAAGTGGCATTACATTGAAGTGCTGAGTGAGAGATAGAGAGGGGATGATAATTGATAAGCTGTGAGCCAGAAGGCAGCATGAAAAATCAGAGATCTCAAAGCAAAGACTGGTGAATAAAGATCGGTGGAGGCAGCTGGATTTTGATTTTTATTGTACCTTTTGAAGCTGCAAAGCAAAGGCTGCTTTTCAATATAATATTCAAATATGATTTGTCTTTTCCTTCTGGCTGGGTGAAGGCAATCAGTAGGTTTGGTATGTGAAACAATTTTGTCCCCATGATTCAGATTCCCTCACCCTCACACAAATAAAATACTTATATAGATTCAAAGATATTTTTTTATTTCTGTTCTCCTCACGACGCAGCTAACATTTAATAATGAAGGGTCGAAATTGAAAAACACAAACTGATCCAAAGTTTGTGTGAATTTTAAAAGGCCAAACATGCCAGTGGTTGTCATTATCTATTAAAAGCAGAGGCACTCTGTATATTTATATGTTATCTTTGGCTCTTGAGGCTGCCTTTTGGTCACTAGTCGTTGCCCCTAATCACTCCCTATTCCCAGGATTTATCTCTCACACAATCTTACGCCCATTTTGTGAAAATGTGAGCCAATCAAGTAGGTGCATCTTCATTGGCCATTAAAAAAAAAAAAAAAAACTGAACAACAAGTAGTCATTTTACCTAACACAGTTAATTTCAAACAAGGGTTTTTCTAACAAACGTGTTATTTTGAAAATAAAGGTTTAAAAGTATTTAGTCAACATCTAAAATGTTAATTTCCGCATTTTATACCGTTAATAGCATGAAAATCAAAAGACTAAAAAACACTTTATAATTAAAAAATAAAAACAGGCAATCATATTGGAGGTAATGTTGAACACTAAATATGAACACCTCTTCTAAAAAGAATTTAAATTTTGGTTCATCACATTGTAAAAAAACCAGCTCATTCTGCTAGATCTAAACTTGTTGGCTTCTGTGAAGTTAAACCACTAGATGCCCAATTTTGCCTAACGGAAACAGTGTGATGGTACATAGTTTGGCGGTGCAGGCGTGGGGGAAGGGAAGGGGACAAAGATATAATGCATCCAATTTGCCGAGGCATCCAGCTTGCTGAAAGAGACTCAACATCTGCAAACTGCTCTCCCTTTCTCTATCAAATCCCTAATCCACTTGTTTTCTTTCATTTCACTTTCCTCCTATTTTCTCATGTCAACTTGTTTCTACGCCAAGCATTATTAGCCACTTCTTTCTCAACTTTTATCTTCCATTTTTAAATATATTTATAATTTATGAACCATATAATCACAACGCAATCACTCATTAATTAACGTCTATATATATATATATATATATATATATAGTTCTATAAAGTACGCGTTTGATTCATGTCTGTTTGGACTATATATGCTCCGAAAGAATTAATTAATTTGTGTTCCTAGCGTATAAATACGGAGGAGCATCACAGTCTCAGTTCTTACTCTAATATTCTTCACATACTATAAATTTATAAATTTAAACTTATAAAAGTATCTCTAAATGAAAATTTAAGTCAATATAAAATATAGTACTACAATTTGGCAAGACATATTATTACAATTTTTTTAAAGAACTAATTTCTTCGTTGATTGGTGTGTTATGAAAACTTTTTTTTTTTTTTCCTGAAGAATTATCTCGTTTAAGCTCCGACAATGGTCGTACCTAACAAGTGATCCCAGATACTTAAATTGTGTAAAAAAACCGACTACATTTTTTTTTTATATAACCAACTCCATTTCTTATCAATAAATAAATCGTCTTACTTTTTTTTCCCTAGATATAAGTATCCTTTTATTGAAAATAATCTCGAACATTAAATGTGGGTACTCCTTCCCAAAATTTTTTTTATTTGAAGCATAACAAATTTTATCGCATTACATTATATTAACTACGTGGATCTACCATATTATTTGTTTGAAGCAATATCATGTTTGAAGCATTAATATTAATAAATATTTTGATTCTTAACATATGAATTAGGAGTGTTTGGCAACTTTTAAAAATACTTCTAAAAAGTACTTTTTCAAAAAAAAAATTTTTTTTTACATATTTACTTTGTAAACCGTAAAAATACTTTTAAAATTAATTTGATTTCTATCCAAATACTTTTTAATTTAAAATTAAGCTTAATATTAAATTAAATATTAACAATATTTTTTATCCTTAAAAGAAAACTATGGTGTATGGGTATCCTCTTTTGTCAGGAAACCAAAAAGCATGGTATCTGCGTGCGAATAATATAAGCCTCTAAATTTTAGGAGATCAAAGTCAAAAGTCGTACAAATAGAAACCTGTTACGCTTATCCATCGTACGTGTAAAGATCTGGCGCATGAGATCACACGCGCTGATTAGGGATCGCGACACGTGTCCGACGGCAATGGCTGGGTCGATTTACCACCTTCACGGTTCTCGCAAAAATATCAAGGGCCTTGTAATAACAACACGTGTGGGAACCAGCTTTGACTCGATGCCACGTCACTGGGCCCCACAAATCCGGGATATTATGACGATCCAACGCAATGCTGACTCAGACATGATAAAGAATGAGTTCCCCCCGGCCCCACATATCAGCCTGAATTTCAGCTTAAATATTGTAAATCATATTACCCAATAAATTCTCACATGTTTTTTCTATTTTTATTCCTGATGATTTATAATTATATTCCCTCTAAGTTATAACATTAGATAAAATTACTTTACTTTCACTGATGGATATTTAATATTTTTCTTTTTTATATACATTTACTTGATATTTACTATTTCTAAGTTCTGGAATAGAATCTAGCCCAATCTAAAGAAATTTTTAATATGATTTTTGTTCATAAAATTCGAATCATTATTACTATTGTTTAAGTCAGGGGATGACATGTCTGTCTTTTGCATCTACAATAGAAAATGAATATGATATAGGTATAGTGCGTTAGGTATATACATTTTTTTGCCCAAACATAGAAAAAGATAAGAGAAAACTTTTTTTCAAGTTAGAATTTTCTGATTGTGCCTTTTTTTCTCGATTCTAAAGGGTTAGGATAAATATGCAAATTTACCTTTTAATATTATTTTTCAGGTACTTCCAACATATAATATCTCTTTAGTGGTATGATTTTACTTATTATTTTTTTTGGTGTGACTGAAGATCATGAGTACAATTGCACTAAAAGATCATTAGTGAAATTACAACAAAAAAACTGATTATAGCTAAAATTGCATAGTTAGAAAAGATCAGGATATTAGATGTACTTGATAAATAAAATCATGATTAAATTGGCATATTTATTCAATGAATAGATTGCTAATAAGGAGAAGAATCAAAGTTACAATCTTCACAAGAAGCGTCGATATTTAGTACCTTGAACAAACTTTCATGTGAAAGACACCTATACTTGACATGTTGAAATATTAAGCTTTATGTATAATCACACTCTACTTTATTTTTAAGAATTTGCATGATATTTATGAGAATAGTCTACTTAATTTTTATTTTATTGAAAAAAATAAAATTTACAGATTGCCTTGTGTCCCACAAATTTAAGAATTTTTAAATAAATTTATACCCGTTTAGCTCTCATATATATAATGAGGAGAGAGAGAGAGAGAGAGAGAGATTTTTTTTAAAAAGAAAAAACGAAAACGGAAGAGATGCCAAACTCTGAATCCGTAGTTCCTTTGGACTTGTCGTGAGATCCAAAATATTGCGGGGAGCAAAACGGTAATAAAACATAATTTAGATACGGAGCTTCGTGTTGTGATTTTTTTTAAAGGAGGAAAGTTTGTGAGATTTTCAGGTAAGGACTCGGGAACTTCCAAATCTCAGGGAAGGACTTCCGGCCGATTATAAATAGCGACGATCTTTCTCATCCATATCCAACCAAAGCATTTACTTCATCGTCTTTTTTCTCTCTTCTTCTTCTTCCTGCTTCGCTTTTATCGCCGTTTTCTCTCTCTCTCTCTCTCAAGATGACTATTCTCATTGATCATGCCGATCTGCTTGGTAATTTTTTTCATCGAATCTTCTCTTTTTATTTCTTCGTTTCATCTTCTGAATCGTTTTCCTTGCGTTTCGAAAATTTATGTTCTGTATAATTGCAGATCGTTCTGTTTCTGGATTTTTCCCTTGATTGCGATCGACTGGATATTCGTTTCAAGAATTTCCGGTTTAACGCATCGATTTACTGCGTAAAATGTCTATTTTCGTGTTCTTTGAAAAAAAAGTAGCCGATCAGGCGGCGATGATTTTGAAATGTGAAATTTTCCCGGAAAATGGCAGGAATCGAAGCAGAGCAAAAGAAGGCATCCATAAATGAGAAAGAAGTGGGATTTGTGGTTCCACAGAGAAACTCATTTGGCCATACATTTAGGTTCCTTTCTCATTTGCACACTTCATTATTTTCAACTCTCTTTGGTTGAATCCTTTCCATTTAACTTGACATTTTCCCTTCTTCTGGCCACTCACACATTTGATTAAATAATTCTACTTCTTGATTTAATATAAAAACTAATGGACTAATTTAAATAAATTTAAAAAAAATTAATTTAGTTATTTATAATAAATATGTGTTGTTTTTTTTAAATATCTTTATTATATTTTTGATAATAGATAATACGAGAGACAAAATGATTAGATCTTATAATTATAACTAAAATAAAAGTCACATGTGCCGGGGGGTAATAAAACATAAGTAACTTTTAATTATCAATTTTAAAAAATAATTAATAATTAATAGTTTAAACCCTTAAAATATGTTCAACAGCAGAGACTGCTCTTATTTCTCATCTTGACTTAATTTGTGCCCCCTGTTAATTGAACACCCCAACAAAAACGATCTAAATCCTGAATTTTTATTTTAATTAATATTTTGTTTCTAATAATATCTCTCTTTAAATATAGCTTATAATATTATGACATTAAAAGGAAGATAAAAATTTTAAAAAAACTCTATGAGTATATATAAATTAAAAAAAAAATAGACAAGCACGATCCGTTTCATAATCAGCTTTAATTATAACATATTTTTCCATTTTCCAAGAACAGGTATATTTAAATTTGACCGAGATAAGTTGAGCCAGTAAGAAGCTAAACAGAGAAATCCAAATCGCCTCAAAAATCTAAAACCCTCGTTTTAAAAATATTGTTGTTTTTGAAATTTTATTAAAGTATTATTAATTTTTCTATTATTTTACTATAGGTGGAAATCGTATATTTTAGTTAAATATTATTAATTTTACTGTAGCTTACATTTGGATTATTTGATCAACTTTCATAATCTATATAATTATTTCGAAATTGATGAAATTTAAACATTAGATTTTGATTGCTCAGACCAAAAAAAAAAAAAAAACTGATGATGATACAAGTCAAGATGATATAAGGCAAGATAAAGCAATTAGGAATTTGGCTTCAAAAGAGATAAGAACACAGTTAGAATAATCTGACCAAAGCCATGGTTGATCGATCTAGGGACTATGATGCTGAGAGTGAGAGACAAGAAGGAGTTCAGAACTTCTACAGGAAAAACCACACTTACCAGACCTATAATTTTGTAAGACTCGTATTTTCTATTATTTATTTTGTTGGAGAGAGAGTATGAGACCAGCATATTATGTTACATTTCTGAGAAAATAATCAAAGTGGAAAAATGGGAACAGGTGAAGAGGATGAGGGAGGAGTATGGGAAACTGAACAGAGTAGAGATGAGCATATGGGAATGCTGTGAACTGCTGAATGATGTGGTTGATGAGAGTGATCCTGACTTGGATGAGCCTCAGATTGAACACTTGCTTCAAACTGCTGAAGCCATTAGAAGGGACTATCCCAATGAAGATTGGCTTCACTTAACTGGCCTTGTTCATGGTAACACATATAGTTTAAAGTTTTTAGTCAAGATTTCTTTTCAAAAACTAAAGCTTCTTAAGCCATTATTAGCAGTATGATTTACTGTTGATTGGTTGCAGATCTTGGGAAAGTGCTTTTACTTCCTAGCTTTGGAGGGCTTCCTCAGTGGGCTGTTGTAGGTATGGTATTCAAACAACTAGTTTTTGAGGGTTATTACTTCTTCTTCTTTTTACTTTTCTCAAACTTATAATATGAGCTCTCTCTTTAATCCTCCTCCAGGTGACACATTCCCAGTTGGATGCAGATTTGACAGTTCCATTGTCCATCATCAGGTAATTACTCAGTTCAGAGCTCTCTAATTATTTAAAAAACAGAGTCTTTTGAGAATCTAACCCATCTTGCTTACCCATTATTCCAGTACTTCAGGGAAAATCCAGACTATGACAATTATGCTTACAACACTAAATATGGAATCTACTCAGAGAAATGTGGACTCAACAATGTGATGATGTCTTGGGGACATGATGATTATATGTATCTGGTAATTTTTTTCCTCAAATGAATAGAATCATAGGTCTTATTCATAAATTATGAAGTAATTACAAACTTTTGGGCATTTTTCTTCCCCAGGTGGCAAAGGAGAACAAAACTACTCTGCCTTCAGCTGCTCTGTTTATCATAAGATACCATTCATTCTATGGTAAGTCCAACTCAGAAAAAATAAGATCATTTTAACCCTAATAAACCACATGCGATCCAAATCCAACTTTAATTTTTTCTCACTTACAAAGTTCTTTTCCTTCTCTTTTTACAGCATTACACAGAGCAGGAGCATATAAGCACTTAATGAACGATGAAGATGTTGAGAATCTGAAATGGCTCCATATTTTCAAGTAAGAACTAACAAAAATGATTTATCAGTTAAACTCTATAATGATTAGTTTTTACATGTGTTTCTAACTCTTCTACTTTCTTTTGCAGTAAATATGATCTGTACAGTAAGAGCAAAGTCAGAATAGACGTTGAGAAGGTTAAACCATACTATCTCTCTCTTATTGAGAAGGTAATTAATTAATATCCCAATTTTAATACTTCTTATATGTATTCCTTTTCCTTCTAAAATCCCTTTTTTTTTAATTACTAATGCATCATTTTTTTCTGGTACAGTACTTCCCTGCAAAACTCAAGTGGTGAAACAATGGAGATCTGAGGAAGAAGAGACAAACTAGTTAAGAGTATCCATGGAGTAGATCATGGAATAATCTATTTTAAGTAGCAGCAGCATTAACTTGTGTTTTAGCCGTAGAGCCTAGAAGTAGAATATGTTGTGCCGCTAATTTGTTGTAACCATCCTCTCTGAAATCTGCTATCTGTATGTGATGTATTAATAAAATGTATCTTTAAGTTTTTAATTAGATATAAGCAGGAGTTCCATTCCTGTTTTTTTTTTCAATATTAATTTTCATGTTAAATTTGGCTATTATTAGTAGGTAGCGTTTGGATGGAAACCAAACTATGATTTTAAAGGTGACTTTACGATATAAGAAATAAATATATGAAACAGTTTATCTCAATTTGTTAGAAAAATATTTTTAAAAAGTACTTTTAGTAACAGCTAAATACTTCCTTAGTACCAGATGAAATAATTTTTTAATGTACTTTTTTTTTAAAGATTTAAACTTGTGCCTTAGTTAAAGGATGATAAATCCCCTGTCCCTATCACCAGGCTCAGTTATTTGATAAATACAAAGATAATTTATCTATAAAATAAAATGTAAAAGTAAACTTCATAAATATAAAAAAGATGTTTCACATGTGAAGGAAGGTAAAATAAGAATAAAAATTCTCTTACACATAAGAATACCTTTCTGTTCATGAAAAAATTGGGTTAAGGTTAAAAATTTGAGCAATGCTTCACAGCCTGCAGACTGATCAAACTAATGTACAAATGAGACTATATATGTATATAATAATAATAACTATAATTAAGAAATAAGTAATCAAGTTGGTTTTACTTCATTCTCTGATGATGTAGTTATACATTCCTCAAGAAGACAAGTTCAAGTTGGGTTGCCATCCAAACACGGCGGGCGGTGCTATCATTGAAACAATTTGGCAATTTGCGAACAATGATGAAAAAATACATACACATTTATGTGAATATTCAGCGTTGAAGTTCAACGAACCCTGAACAATAGAAATCTAATTTCTTTTTTGGAAAAATTGGGGAGGAGGAAATACAGAAGCCATATTTATTGGGGAGGATGTTAAAAAGTGTAATTATTTAGGAGGACCAAATACTAAAATACAATTTTTAATTAAAAATTGTATTTTAGTATTTGGTCCTCCTAAATAATTACACTTTTTAAGATCCTCCCCGATAAATATCTTTTTTTTTGTCCTTTTCTCTAATTTTCCCTTCTTTCTTCCTTCCCTTTTTAATACAATATTGGATGTTATTAGACCACGCGTCATCAGCCCTAAATAAGATTAGTCCGCCTAAATGTGTGTTTTGCGTTCACAAGGACTAAAATTTGAGACCCCGTAATGCTAAGTTTTGCCGTGTTGCTGCTTTTTTTTTTTTTTGGAAATTTTTAACTTTCGATCCTATTTGGTATGAAGCATTGAGAATAAACAGAAAGAATTAGATTGAATTAAAAAATCTATTAAAAAAGTATTTGATATGAGAGATTGCTTGTTACTTAGAACTGGATAAACCCATGCTGCTGGGATTGGAAAATACCGCTTTGCATACCTCAATCCTATTTACATGAATTTGCCAAATTCTAAATAACAAATAATTCTTCATATTAAATATTTTCTAATATATTTTTTTTTAATCTCAATTCTTATTCTTATTTCTCATTCTCAATGTTTCATGACAGCTAAAAGTTTTCATATTCCGTGTCAAAATATGCAATTTGGACACTAGGGTTTGGTTCCTGCGGGGTTGGGCCCCATTCTTGAGTAGAACGCTTCAACAAACAAATATCACTTGTGTTAGGTAGTTTTCTAATTTCACATTCGTTTTAAAATAAAAATTGAAGCAGTCCCAAGTTTTGGTTTATTTTGATGTGTTATATATATATTTTTTTTTGCAGGTATATCAATAATTTTTAGTTTTTTTTAATCCTATTGAGCACGATAAGATTTTTCAAGAAACATTCTTTGCCAATGAGTAGAGAGCTCAACTAACTCACTGATGTTGGTTTTAATGAAAACGGTTTTGCCCACTTAAACATGAAGTTTTAATTCTTACGTTTGAGTCCATGCATTTAGGAGAGTTATTCCCAATTAGACCAGACAATGCCTAAATTTAACTGAGTCAAATAGTCACACACACGCATACATATATAGAAGTGACTGTAAGGTACAAGGATGGAAGAGGCAGACAAGTGAGTGAGTTGGCTCACTTGATTTTGAATTCATTGGACTTGAAAGTAAACGTGGCAACTAAAATTTACTAAACAAGATCTGTAACAAAAGTTAATAAATCTTTCTTCAATGTAGCGTGATAAGCATTAATAAATTAGTACACTCCGAAGGCCCAAATGAAATGTGAATCTGACGCAATACCATCTTCTCTTTTTTGGGCCTGAAAAATGCAATACCACCTTCTGACCCACACTCTTCTTCCAGCTATAGGCAAATTAGGCTTCACTCTGAAAGCCCACTCCAAGTATTCCTGACGAACAGTACATTGACTAGCAAATTTCAATGATCAAACAAAATGAGAAACAAAAATCAATTAAAACTTCCAACTTGAAGTGAACTCTGACATCTAATTGGCTTCATTTATTTATTTTTGGCAGAAAACTCCCGCATACATGCAATATAGGAACACAAACTGTATAAATAATCAATTAAACTTGCTAAAAATTGTTTATGGTAGGGTCTATTAACAGTTGTACACAACTAATAGAAGAAATATCCCAAAGAATTTCTCAGCTCACCAATCTTTCAAAGAAATTTTAAATTTTCCATTTGATTGAGTCAACAAGGAGGTAATCTTAGCGATCTATTGATTAGGTTTACTTATATGTTAATAAGCCAGTGGCCAAAAATGACCTTTCAATATTGACCACTCGCATTAAGTCTAGTGCCAATGTCATGACTCATGAATATGATAGGCTGAAGACAAAGCTGCATTTACTACAATTGATGTAAACACCACAGCATTAACTAAAATGATCAAGACTGAAAATTCCCACAATGACTTAAATACATTCTTAACCAACCAAAAATAAGTTGATCATTCAGAGTTCTTTTTCTTTCAATCCCCTAGGAGTGTAATGGGGTCCTCAGCTGTGACAACTATTTATTTAAGTTGGAAAACCATTAGTACTTACAGTTTTCATGTAAAATTTAAAAATTAATGCTGAAACTATGTTTAAGTAACTTTCTTTAATTGTTTTAGTTTGTATTTTCCTGATGAACAGTACATTGACTAGCAAATTTCAATGATCAAACAAAATGAGAAAGAAAACTCAATTAAAACTCCCAACTTGAGGTAAACTCGACATCTAATTGGCTTCATTTATTTATTTTTGGCAGAAAATTCCCGCATACATGGAATATACGAACACAAACTGTATAAATAATCAATTAAACTTGCTAAAATCAATGTGTTTATGGCAGGGTCCATTAACAGTTGTACACAACTAATAGAAGAAATGCCCCAAAGAATTTCTCAGCTCACCAATATTTCAAAGAAATTTTAAATTTTCCATTTGATTGAGTCAACAAGGAGGTAATCTTGTCAATAGATAGCTTAGGTTTACTTACATGTCAAAAAGCCAGTGGCTAAAAATGACCTTTCAATATTGACCACTCACATTAAGTCTAATGCCAATGTCATGACTCATAAATATGATAGGCTGAAGACAAAGCTGCATTTACTACAATTATGTTAACACCACAGCACTAACTAAAATGATCAAGACTGAAAATTCCCACAATGACTTAAATACATTCTTAACCAACCAAAAATAAGCTGATCATTCAGAGTTCTTTTTCTTTCAAACTCTTAGCAGTGTAATGGGATCCTCAGCTGTGACAGTTATTTATCTAAGTTGGAAAACCATTAGTACTTGCAGTTTTCATGTATAATTCAAACATTAATGCTGAAACTATTTTTAACTAACTTTCTTTAATTGTTTTAATTTGCATTTTCCTAAGGAACTGTATATTGACTAGCAAATTTCAATGATCAAACAAAATGAGAAACAAAACTCAATTAAAACTCCCAACTTGAAGTAAACTCGACATCTAATTGGCTTCATTTATTTATTTTTGGCAGAAAATTCCCGCATACATGCAATATACAAACATAAACTGTATAAATAATCAATTAAACTTGCTAAAATCAATGTTGTTTATGGTAGGGTTTATTAACAGTTGTACACAACCAATAGAAGAAATGCCCCAAAGAATTTCTCAGCTCACCAGTCTTTCAAAGAAATTTTAAATTTTCCATTTGATTGAGTCAACAAGGAGGTAATCTTGTCAATAGATAGCTTAGGTTTACTTACATGTCAAAAAGCCAGTGGCCAAAAATGACCTTTCAATATTGACCACTCACATTAAGTCTAGTGCCAATGTCATGACTCATAAATATGATAGGCTGAAGACAAAGCTGCATTTACTATAATTGATGTAAACACCATAGCATTAACGAAAATGATCAAGACTGAAAATTCCCACAATGACTTAAATACATTCTTCACCAACCAAAAATAAGTTGATCATTCAGAGTTCTTTTTCTTTCAATCTCCCAAGAGTGTGATGGGGTCCTCAACTGTGACAGCTATTTATTTAAGTTGGAAAACCATTTGTACTTGCAGTTTTCATGTATAATTAAAAAATTAATGCTGAAAATATGTTTAACTAACTTTCTTTAATTGTTTTAGCTTGCATTTTCCACACTTCAGGCCTAAACAGTTGTCCTGTGAATTAAGTATTTGAGATTATCACAGAAGTATAACTTTTTATATGACAGTTTAAATAACTGCATTGAAGTTATATTTCTTGAAGTTAACTATAAATGGTCAGAAGATAAATTATTTTGACTTATCTACTAACAAGACATTTGAGATTAAAATTTCTTCCCTCCACCCAAAAAAAAAAACCCACAGAGAGAGAGAGAGAGAGAGACAGAAGGAGAGAAAACTTTACCATTAACACGGTCCAAGAGGTGCTAATTAAAGGCTGCCCCGGCCGGGGGAGGGGGGGAAGAGGTACTAATTGAAGTGTATATATGTGGAAAAGTAAATGAGGTACCCAGGGACTACACAGATATTCTGTTGAAAAGTAATGTTTTTTACCAGTTAGCCAGAATAACTCGTACAAATTGCTTCATATATATGTTGCCTTTTTAAAAGTTAATATTCATGATTCTTCTTCTTATTACAAAGCATAGGCAAGTTCAATAGTATCTTA